TCTGTCAGTGAAGTGAAGAGCTCGTTCCAAAGGGTAGATTAGAGTGGAGAAGAACGAGCAAGAAATTCAATACGTTACTCTTTTAAAAAAAAGATGGCTACAATTTGACTGCAGGTTGGTACGGTGGCTACCGTGCAACGTGTCGCGGGTTCAATTCCCGCATTGAAAAATACTTTGTGTGATCCACAAATAGTTGTTTCGGGTCTGGATGTCAAGTATATGTAAATATGTATGTTTGTAAACGCACCCACGATACAGGAGAACATTCTATCATTGGGCGACGTTTTTATTTGAAACAAACATTAATGGTCATCCCTAGTAACACTGGAGAATCCTAAAACGAATCTCAATTTAACCGTAGTACGCAGGTGGCGTTCCCGACTTGGCTAATAAGAAAATAATTATGAATAAAGGTCGGACCACTTGGCAATTTCGGTCGTTTATTAAAATGGTAATGAGCTGACTTGAAGTTTATAATGCGAGTTAGAATGTAGTGTTTGGAGGGCAAGTGACCGTGTAAGGGATCGTTACGGACGAGTTAGGTGATCATGGCTTAATTTACTTGTAAATATATAATGAGTAATATGTACCATCACCTAGGAAATTTGACCCTCGAGTGCACGGTTGGTATAGTGGCTGGGCAACCGGCTGTTAGGCAACGTGTCGCGGCTTCGTATCCCGCACATGACAACTTTTTGTGTGATCCACACATTATTGTTCAGGGCCTGGGTGTCATGTATATTTGTATGTTTGTAAACGCACCCATGACACAGAAGAAAATCTTAATGTGGGGCAATGATTTTAAAAAGAAAAAAAATTGTAAAAATTGAATATACATACAGATGTGGTTAGAGTGAAAAAAGTGAACCGACTAAAGTTTGTAGTAAATCTACCACAATGAACTAACTGTGAAGCGAAATCTCGCTTCAATGTTACTAACTCCCCTATAGCTACAACATCGGCATATGATTTAATATTATATATTCTACTTGAGAAATGTCAAGATGCCACTTGATACATACCGACATATCGAGCAAAGATGACGATGGAATGTCAACAACTGCCGTCTCACTGTTTATACAGCTGAACGCATAATTATGTAATTGTTAAATAAGAGAAGTTTGCCCTCCACCAACAAGTATGTAAAATACTTGTGATCAAGAAATGAAGTTATTATAAAACACATCTCCAATAAAAAATCTCCTAATAGCTTTAAATCTATATAGAAGTTTGCCCTCCACCTACAAGTATGTAAAATACTTTTGTTCAAGAAAAGAAGTTATTATAAAACACATTACTTACGCTTACGAATCTATATATGTATATTCAAATACAGAAAACAATAAGGTGAAATCTTCTAAGCTTTTTGATGATCAGACGGAACCATGTTTCCAAGTACTTCCACTTAAGATCACTGAACCAAACAAGGACCTTCGAAAACAAATCATCAGCAGTATAAGGAAAAAACAACTGAAACTAAAGTGTCAAAGCACTGATAATATAACAAACGACACCACGTTCCCTAAAGAGCGATTGAGTCGTCCAACTGATTCTAACGCACGTCCATCCCTTCATTATACTTAGTATCGTATCCTTAACCTTCGGAGTGGTCGTAACTTTGACGAATACCATCATTTGTACAACCCCCTTCACCGATTTGGTGAAGAAACAGAAGATTCATTCTAATTGGCCCTGGAAATGTTTCAAAATGGCTGACAATATTTGAAACGTCTTTTATATAATCAATCATTTATTTGAGGCAATGTCTTACAAAACTATTATGTAAACCGATTATATGTATTTTTTCAGTTTGTAATTTGTTTAATTGCAATACTATTTTTTTATTATTGCTTAATTGAAAACCTAGTATAAGTTGAGTTGATTCTTAAAGACCAAGCATCTTTTTAAATAATTGAACGTTTTTATAAACATAGGTACTTATTAAAATACGTGTGATATAAACACAAGTTGATCTTCTGTTATACTTTCTCGTTTTATACTTCCTAGGGAGACTTAGCGCAGTAACTTTTTATTTTTGATGTAAAACAATAAATCTCTGATATGATCCGATCGCCTCCTATTCCAGATAGTTTCGTTTACGATACTCCTACCTTCGCTTTTCTCTCCACTTTTATTTATTTCATTTTTCTTATGGCGTCTTTGAGAAATTGGGATCAAGATGAAATGGAAACTGGAATGCTTTCTTTGAGACTCATTAAAACTGATATATTTTCATAATATTTTCTTCAACAAAATGTTTAAGAAAAATATTTTTTATACATTGTGATATTGTTAGTTGCAGGGTACTTACATTTGGGTAATTTAAAAGACACTGGACTTCCTGGTACTAAATACTTATAATATTTTCATCAAGCATGCTACATTTTTTGTTTTGTTTTTTGAAACTCAAACATTTGTAATCAAATGACACCGTATTACGTTTTATTATGACATCACATACATAACATCACGCCTTTTATCCCCGAAGTGGTAGGCAGACAATGTAACAACTACTTTTTACTATTTATGTTATGAGTCCCATGTAATAGGAGGTGAGCCTATTGCCATATACCGGGCACAATTCCAGACTCCGTGCTACTACTAAGATAAAAAAAACCAGTAATTCTTTGCCCAACCCGGGAATCGAACCCAAGACCCCTTGCCTGGCAGTCGCATCTGCGACCACTCGGCCAACGGGGCAGTCAAATATCTCTAAATTAAAATTCAAAATAAATGCATTTAATTAATTACCATTTAATAGGTTATTCATTCGTCAATTGAAAATACATTTCGGAAAAGATTTCTTCCTCGTATAGATATCGGCTATCACAGGTTAAAGATATTCACTTATAAATATTGAAATGGAAAATAACGGCTTTTTGTTAAAATAGTTCAAATAAATTACTGAGCAGCATAAATAAATATCCATGACCGAATTGAAAGGAAAATAGAATTTGGATTGGTGAATGTGAACTCACGTTGCAATCATCGGGTTCATAATAGTATTATAGAACTAAGAACTAGAGAAACATTAGTTTGTGCACTATACTACAAAAAATTCACTATTTGAACTATTTGAATCAAATGGCATAGATAAGTTAAAAAAAAAAATATATATCAGGCTTTGCAGCAACTCAAAACTAAAATTGCAGCCATATTCTATAGAATTAACTAAAATCGCAGGTTACTCACGTGAATAGATAGAGAAAAACCCTACTAGAAGCGCGGTCACGGCGATGTCGCGCACGCTGCTCATGAGGAAGAACACCTCTGTGGTTCGAAACTAGTAGAGCTTTTCTTAGTATATTCACGTAAGCAACCGCAATTTTTTATTTTAGTATGTCTCACGACAGTTATTGTAAAAACACATTCTATAGAATTTTCAAATGTACATAAATATGACACACTTGCCGCCTAATGGAAGGGGAGCTTATTTGCCCAGCTAGGTATAATAATATCATCACATTTTACTGATTCTAACATTAAACATTTTCGAAAAAACAAAAACATTTTTAATGCAACTTTGTTCAACTCTATTTAAACAAACTCTAAACACAGAATAATTAATTTAACACAAAACAAAGTTCATACATAATAAAAAATAGTTTGTAACGAAACATATTTATATTCATGATGGACGCGATTGACTCTCCAATGAACAAAGGCTATAAAACATTTACGGGGACATGCATTAACGAAACTTCCGAATGCACTACTAAATATTTATACGTTTCGGAACGCGTATTTACAAGTGTTCGTGTTGACTTGTTATTTTATAGTACTATGTTACCTTGATGTATGTTTTAAAGGAACGTGTTAAGGTTTAATTTCATATGGTATGATGTTGTTTGTAATGTAATTAAAAATAAGATTTATAAGCGCGCAAAAGTATGATGTGTAGATGATAGCAGAATGTTATTTTTGGAACTTGTATTCTAAGGCATTTGTGATGTCCTTCAATAGCTTGTCAATGCTATGACACTCAGTTATGTTAATGTAATACCGTATAGTTTTTTTATATATTAAATGGGACTGACGTTTGACCACTATCTCGCCTGGTGGTAAGCGATGATATGGCCTACGATGGAGCACGTCGACCCATAAGCAACGTATTCAGTCGGACCTTGAAGAAATCCAGGTTATACCCTTACAGTAGGAAGTACAGACACTGACAAAGCATTAGTGATGGGAATAGTTATTAGTGATATGTTAGTGTATGCAATACCGATCTGTGTGCCGGTCGGATGTCGACTGACCCAACAGAAGTACTCGCGCTTCTTTTATTATCCACGTAATACGATAGATGTTACTAGAGATGACGTATTGCAGAATATACGAATACCTGAATATATCACAGCATCCAACATAATAATATTATATTGTAATAGGCATGATATACTACATACAATCCCAAAATCAATGTCATTACCAATAATCCTGGATACCAAACCACTCAATAACGATTTGCCTAACACAAAACTCTTACTACTTCTCTTAAGACTAACTTAAGTTAGTGCAAACGACATGAAATAAAAAGTATCCAGTAAATTTTAGTAGCACGATCCGTGTTTGCCATTTCAAATGCTACCAAAACACTCCAAACTAGGTTCAGTAAACATGCATCTCAGTTTATTCGCTTCATTGAAAACTTTTTTATTTGAAGCAGATTGTACATCTGCTTCAAATAAAAAAATTACCATGATTTTTTTAAAGGTATACGTTTAAAAAAATCATGGTAAATTTGAATTTAGAATTAATTAAATAAATTGATACAATAATAGTGTTAATTTATTTAATCAATTTACATTGTAGTCTCCTTTTTCTTACTATTTAAAGTGATAACATTACGTATAACTCAAAGATCAGCTCTTTAACAATAACAATATGAGCCTTCATCAATTTCATCAACAGCTGTTATTGTTCATGAGCCTAAATTTCTATCAAAATCTTTCCATTATTACCAATATCATCTTAAAATATCTCCATTTTTATTGTTTTAGATGCAACAAGGCTATGTACGCCAACCGTATCTCCTACTGGCTGGATAGTAAAGGTCCGTCTTATGCCCTGGACGTGGCTTGCTCCAGCTCCATGTCCTGCCTCGAGCATGCTTACACCAGCATCAGCAGTGGCGTGTGTGAGGCTGCCATTGTCGGTGGTTGCAACTTGTGCATGCATCCTAATGTGGCTTTAAATATGAGGAAGTAAGTATAATGTGCTAAAGTTGATTATGTCGAAAAAATAGTCTGTTTTGATCTGAAGAAATTTACAAAATATTTGCCAACTCGAAAGCAAGAAACAAAGCTATTTTTTAAACTAGATACAAAGTTGTGACTTCTTCGTTAGCCGAATGGTCGCAAGTGCGACTGCCGAGCAAGGGGTCTTGGGTTCGATTCCCGGATCGGGCAAAGTATTACTGGGTATTTTTAAATAAAATCTCAGTAGTAGCACGGAGTCTGGAAATGTGCCCGGTATATGGCATTAAGCTTACCCCCTATTACATAGGACTCATTACATAAATAGTGAAAAGTGGGTGTTACTTTTGTGAACACCACTGCCTACCCCTTCAGGGATAAAAAGGCCTGATGTTATGTTATGTGATACAAAGTTGTTTTAGGACCGAAGTCCTAGTTTTACGCAACATGCCCAAACTGTTATTACTGATATGTATATTAAATAATAGGGTAACTAATCCTTTAATGTTTGTTTTTATTTTAACAGGTATGGATTCCTGTGTCTGGATGGCAAGACGAAATGTTTCGACAAGCACGGAGATGGTAGCGTTAGGTCCGACGCCATCAACATTCTGTTCTTGCAAAAGGCTAAAGATGCAAAGAGGTAAAGCATTGTACCATATTTATTAAAGGATTTTATTTAGCTTGCACCGTTTGTTTGGTCGTGTCAAATTTAATTGAGATATTATGTTATGTTTACTTGACATCAGATTGATCAGATAACTGGTACATACTCTTAATCTTGATAAACATACAAAAAAATCTACCTTTTTTTACAACTACCTCCATTATAGATATCAAACGAAATAGTTTAAATGGTAGAATCTTCTTCTCTTCTCTGTCGTTTCGCTCTTGGCAGAGCGGTCGTGGTCACGTTGAGGCGGCCGTATGTGTTGGTGGCCGATACAGCTTTCCTCACGATCCCCCACCATCTCTCTCTATTTGTACATAGTAGAATAGTGAGCTAATTAAAATTGTTTAACATAAAACATATCTTTTTTTAAATTCCGTGTTTACAGTAAACGAAAAATGTCAGTACCACCACTTCAGTTACTTTAAATATTATTAATCAATCAATACATTTAAATGAATTGTGACAATGGACCTCGAAATGTACGGCCATTATCGGAAGTGAAACTCATTACATATTAATGAATTGATTTTAAATGATTCATTACTATTTCGTTTTACATTCCGACGGGATAATGGAGGAATAAATTTAAAATTTTCTTCAGATAATGAGTGTTAAAGTTTTATTTATCATGTGTACATTTGTAGCCATGGGACTCATAACATAAATAGTGAAAAGTGGGTGTTACATTGTACAGTGGTATAATGTACACCTCTGCCTACCCCTTCGGCCCCAACGTATGAGTGTCGTTTCCTCCCAATCCATGAATTTGTATACAGAGACACCGAAATTGTGTGTTACAATTTTTTATTACTTGTATAAAAATCTAGGACAAATCAATCTCGAATAAACTAGTATTATTTGGTCTAATTTCCTCTCACTACTGCTACAACTAAAGCTATTTCTACAATGGTGCGATAATGCACCAGCGACAAACACCATTCCTTACTCCTCGAGCAAGTGTTAACGTCCACTTTCTCAATGTCAACCTTTATTTTCTAAAGTAAATTTTATTTTCAGTTCTAAATTAACGTATAGTTTCTGTACTCGCATCCATCTAAAAGTCAGTGGGCTCTTGTTATTTATTACTCTACCGTTAACTCTAGAAGTTGGAAAGTATGCGGTTAAATCTCTTTTTGTGGTTCGTAATAATTCATGTTCCAGTCCAAAGGTAGTTATCTATTGCCGTTTTCTGGCTACCTAGAACTATTGGTAATATTTCTGTTAGTTTTTCTTTGAATTAAAGTTTTGTTTTTATCTCGATGTTCTTAGAGATCTACGAGAAAGATCTTGTAATGTGTTCTAAATATTCGTTGGGCTATAAAAAGTTTTTGAAGTGCCAGCCATCAGTTTAGTTTATTTAGCCTACTCAACATTAAAAACTGCTTATCAATGTTCAACGTGAATATATTATACATGAAATCATTGAACGACTGCCTCGTTGGCCAAGTGGTCGCAATCACGACGGCAAGCAGTTGGGTTCCCAGGTCGGGCAAAGTACTACTGGGTTTTAAAAAATATCACAGTGGTACCACGTTGTACAGTGATATTAGGTGCCGTAATGTGCACCTCTGCCTACGCCTTTGTAGATAAAAAATGTGATGTTTTGCTTATATTCATTAAACGACCAATATTGTTTTTGTATCAAAACACATAAGTATGTACTACAATTTTTTACTTAAAAGAACTTATAACTACTCAAAGATACTAAATCTTATAACACTCGTACGCCACAGTGCATTACTACAAGTGAAATTGCAAGTTCCATTAAAACGGCATTTATTTTTTACTCTTTGCTCGTCGGAACTGTTGAAATTGTACCGTGACATGACAACTACGACAGTCGGCCCTGTGACTCAGTTAATGTATTTGCAACGCAATTTTTTTCCACGGGTCAGCTTTTCCAACGTATTTTGATATTTTTTTTAGCAAATTGAATTGTAGGAGGAAATAGGATGGAGATTAAATGTTACGTAGAAATATAGACGTGGAACGAAATACAACCATTTAACTATTATCTGTAGTTTTTTGTTGCTGTGCTGCACTATTAAGTTTCAAACAAGTTTTTAGTACAACTGTCAGTCATCCGTTGTAGAGAGATCATAAAAATGAAACCTTTTACTATCGCGATAAAAATTTCAGGTATTTTTATTTAATTTATCAACAAAATATTATTTCTATCTTTGTTCACAGAATTTACTCTGAAGTGTACTACGCCAAATCCTGCTACTCGAACACAGTTCAAGAGCAGTTCTTGCCAACTCGAAAACCAGAAGAAATCCAAGAATTTTTGGAACAATTCTATAAAGAAGCTGGTGTTTCTCCTCGTGATGTGGAGTACATTGAAGCCAATGCCACAGGTAAGCCACTACAATCACTTTTAATACCATATAACATATTGAATTCATTTTTGTAGGTTCGTAATTATATAAATAGAACTGTTAAGAAGCCACCCTTAAAGTTTGAATGATTAAATTTTATGTGTTTTGTTCAGCTATTGCCGAAGCAGACGCCAATGAATTGGAAGCCATTGGCAAAGTATTTGCTAAAGACAAAACTGTCCAAGTTGGATGCGTCAAATCTAATATGGGTCATTCTGAACCTGCTTCTGGAGTATGCTCGCTAACCAAGGTATGGTAACAACAATAATACAACAAGAAGAGATAATAACAAAATAAGAAATGATTGAATTTAACGTACATTTTTTTGATGCTAAGAAGGTATAAATTAAATAAACGAATAATAAGTTAAATCAACAATGATTTTATAAATATCATGACCATTAGAGAGATTTAGAGTTGGACCTAGGTTTGAACCCTGTGGAAACCTTAATTAAATAAGATTTCTAGATATAAAGACTTTTACGACAAATGAAACACGCCTTACTTTATACCTGTTTTAAAATTTATTCATAAAGTAACAAACTATGCGTAAATGTTTTGTAAAGACGGAAAACCTCTTTACATTATTAATGTTAAGGCCTTACTCAAAGTTCTTGTGGTAATATTTTATAAACATTTATTTGATACTTAACTTTCTTTATGGAGGCTTTTTCAGATTACAAAAATGTATTTCTTTAAGACCCTTCTATTTTTTTGATCTTAGTTCAGTTTATGCTATAGCTTTAAGAAGTTTATTAAAGACCTTATTAACTGAAAATAGTTAATAAAGGTTTCCCATTTCAAAATTAATTATTACACAACCCAGAATCATTTTGATGGGTCTTGAAATAGAACAATAATGTACTACATTATTAGAGACTTTGCCATGAACTTAAAATTATTGAACCAATACCATAGTTTTCAATGGTAAAAGATATATTTTTTTTCACTATTCTTATTTTGCGTACTTACGTTGATAGTTATATAATTTTAATTAATTTTCTGATAATTTGTGTTAATTTTTTTCCCATTTCATTATTACTTAATATTATTTATAGGTATGTCTGGCATACCACACCGGCCAAATCCCTGCGAACTTGCACTACTACGAGCCACAGGATGAGATTGATGCAGTCCGTGATGGAAGAGTCCAAGTTGTAACTGAGAACACACCGTTCGGGAGAGGATTTACTGCCTTGAACTCTTTCTCCTACAGTGGAACTAATGTCCACGTTCTGATGAAAGGACATTATAAACCAAAGGTAAGGAAGAAAATATTTGCTTTTCATATTTTAGTATGAACCTGTTTTGTTTAGTACGAGTGTTTGAATTTTAATACACACATATAGTGGAAGAAGAATTACTGATATATGACTTAAAAATGGTAAATGTAATGTTTATTAATTAACTGATAAATTTATTGTGATTTAGACAATTTTGAAACATATGTAGATACTATGGACGACGTCGATAATGAAATAGACTGAATGTAAAAATGTGACCTTGCATTTTTTTCTAGGATCTAGACCGTTACCGCAGCAGCATTCCTCATATAGTCCTCACTTCAGGTAGACAAGACCAATGTGTAAAGAGTATGATTGAAAAACTTGTCAAGCAACCAGTAGATCCTGAACAAATCGCTCTTCTGCATGAGATTCATGACAAACCTATGGCTGGACATACGTGCCGTGGATATGTTATTCTCGGTAAGATGAACATAATACTAATTGGTACACACATTGATATTGTAGAATATCAAAAAAAGTTTACGAGTACAAATATCGAAAAAAGCCGCATATTCCGCAATAGCGAAGTTGCCTTTTGTCATTATTAATATTTATATTGATTCTTATCATCTTCAAGCCTTTCATAGAATGTTCAGCTATATGTATTCAAACTGGCAGTAGCCAGTCAGTTGATATACTGGCCATTTAATGATAATAAAAATCTAAAATTGCATCAAATTAATGCAAGTAGCTTTTAATTTGACGGCCTTCCAGCTGTAGACGTCTTCCGACTGAAAATGACGATGACGACGAACTTAATTTTTTTTTGTGTGGTATGAGCCGGTAATCCACTTGATGGTAAGCAATCGGCGTCGCCCACGGACACTTTTAATACCAGAGGCGTTACCGGCGACCGACTTTTTGGGGATTAGGAATTTGAGGATCCTTGGGATTCAGGGATTGAGGAGATCAAGGAAGGGGAGAGGGTGTCACCGGTAACCTCACTCATGCAACGAAATACAACGCAAGTGTTGTTTCACGTCGGATTTCTGCGAGACCGTGGTATCACTCCGGTTGAGCCGGTCTATTCGTGCCGATGCATGGTAATAATTTACATAACATATTCCTTTATAGGTACTGACGAGAACAAAGAAACTGTGTGTGTTGCTAAAGAAGTGGAATACATAGACGGCGTGACTCGTCCAGTGTGGTTCGTGTACAGTGGTATGGGATCCCAGTGGGCCACCATGGGCGCTGAACTGATGCGTATCCCGATATTTGCTGCAGCTATTGAGAGGTGAGTACTATACAAGCCTGTAAATGTACTATGATGATGATTTAGCAGCATTTGCAATTGACAATAGGGTAGATGGCTAATTTTTATTTTAATGTCCGTCTCGTAGATTATTTTAAATCATTAGACACGTATTTTTCATTAACGACGATAATTATATTGATTTGAAATGTTGCGTGACGTCACTTCTATGAACATTTTATACGTAGAAATGACGTTTTAGCCCCCACTCCTAACATTGATTCGTTTTATTTAAGTATTATTTTATTATACGACAAAATAAAAGAAAATACGTGACATCATCATTTCGGTTATGTTCAGACCCGTCTGGTCTGATTGAGATAGTTTTTATGTAATTTCTTTGCGATGTAAAGACACTACTCTTAACTATTATTTCTTTTCCAGATGTCAAAAAGCTCTTGAACCCAAGGGTATAGATATTGTGAATATTCTGACGAATCCAGACAAGGCTATTTATGATAACATCCTACATTCGTTCGTGGGTATTGCTGCAGTGCAAATTGGTCTCACTGACATACTGAAGGAGTTGGGAATCGTTCCTGATAACATCATTGGTAAGTTGACATGTTATTGAATGAGAAATTGTTAGTTATAACATTTTGAGTCTTGTTTGATGTGAGCGTTAGCTATACGACTCCTGTCTTAGGAGCCTTAAAACACATTTTACTTGTATTGTGTTTGGTATATCTTAAAAACAGGCACATAAAAAATAAAGCATTTTTATCAACTTCTATTTATATAAAACTTCTTGTTACTCATAGGACACAGTGTTGGCGAACTTGGATGTGCCTACGCTGATGGCTGCTTCACGGCTGAGGAGATGATCCTGGCAGCTTATAGCCGTGGTCTAGTGTCTTTACAGACACCTTTCATTCGCGGTTCTATGGCTGCTGTTGGATTGGGTTATAAAGCGGTAAGAACTACTATAAATATTGTTGTATCTCAAACGTATATTTTCAAGTCTAAAGCCAAAAAGTCAAAATCATTTATTTCAATTAGACCAGGAAGGCACTTTTGAACGTCAAAACAAAATATTTAAATATTAAATAATAAGAAAAAAGAAATGTCAATCTGTAGGTCAGTCCTCTAGTGAAGCTATTTGCTCGTTCCAAAGTGTAGATTCCCATGGAGAAGAACGAGCAAGAAACTCTATAGGTTACTCTTTTTCAATCATGTTCACAATATAATTTTCGGTTACATTCTTTCGTTGAGTTCAATAATGTGAGAACAATGTAATACCAATATTTGGTCAAGAAGACGGAAAAAGAAAATAACCTTGAGTACAACAAATTTAATAGGTACAATCTGGAGCTGACCAGTCCTATTTGACAGCGCCGTTCACGAAAATGACACGTCATGTCAACTTTATACGATAAAAAGTGGATAAATTTCATTTAGGTTTTTTAATTTTATGAATTAATTCAATGAATTATAGCAATCGGTTAATTTTTTATTTAACCCGCATTTAAAATATTCCTCTTTCATAGCTACAAACTACATAACATGTTCTTTATTTTTTCTAGATCAAAGCTCTGTGCCCACCAGAAATTGAAGTGGCTTGCCACAACAGTTCCGACTCCTCAACCATTTCAGGGCCAGCTGATATTATGAAGTCCTTCGTCGCAGAGCTAACAGGTCGTGGTATCTTTGCTAAGGAAGTTCCGTGCTCGAACATCGCTTACCATTCGAGATATATTCAGGATGCTGGTAAGACTATAAAATAACACAATTTTAGTGCAAAAGATTTGGGTCCACGGCCATTACAGTCCCTTGATTTTTCTGGGTAAAGAAGTAAATCCCATAAATTATTATCTTAAGTGCGCTATCACTGTCTTATGTGACTGCCTCGTTGGCCAAGTGGTTGCAAGCGCGGCTGCTGGGCAAAGGATCTCGGGTTCGATTCCCGGGTCGAGCAAAATATTACAGGGTTTTTAAAAAAATCTCAGTAGTAGCACTGAGTATGTAATTGTGCCCGGTATATGGCAATAGGCTCACCCCTATTACATGGGTCTCATAACATACATAGTGAAAAGTGGGTGTTCCAATCTACAGTGGCATAATATGCACCCCTGTCCACCCCTTCGTGGATAAAAAGCGTGATGTTATGTTATGTTAAGTTACCAGCTTTATACTAAAACGAGTCATTATATCACTAGGCCCTGGTCTTCTGAAATATTTGAAGGAAGTCATCAAGAACCCGAAGGAACGCAGTAAGAAGTGGGTATCTACATCAGTTCCCCAAAACGAGTGGGACAAACCCGCTGCCCAGTACTCTTCTGCTGAATACCATACCAATAACTTATTGGTAAGAAAACTTCAGTTAAACAAAAGTAAACTTTATTGTTGTAGTGTTTAAAAGGGTTTTAGAAGTACTTTATTGGATCTTTTATGATAAAATCAGTGTTATTAATTTGTAACCAAAACCTGTTTAGCATTCAGGAACATTGAACTAGAATTTAATATTGTTCGGTAATCTTAAATTGTAGTTTAGTAGATAGCTTCAGGCCATTGGTAAGAGATTAGTTAGTCTCTTAATAATTTTAAACTTAAGTATAATAAATCTAGTTTTAACTATTGAATAGCTTGTTAAGTCGATTCATTCCTCATGTTTTACTTCTTTGATAGTTACAATAGTACTTAAATTTCCTAATGATGTTCCATTTCGTACAAAGCCAACCGCAATTACAAACTTAACCCATATATATACAAAATTACTCGTTCTACATAACATGCACTCTAAAAAATGGTCGTGGTGGCCCGGAGGTTTAAGGCGCCCGCTTCTCATGCAAGAGGGTGCGGGTTTAAAACCTACCAACCAAGATTATCTAGACACCACTGACAAACGGTGAAGGAAAAAATCGTGAGGAAACCTGGGCTTATAATTTCCAATTATAAGTTTGTAAACACCAACCCGCATTGAGCAAGCGTGGTGATTAATGCTCAAACCTTCTCCGTGTGAGAAGTGGCTTTGCTCAGCAGTGGGCATTTATAGGATGTTGATGATGATGATAATGACTCTAAAAAAATGTCCTAACAATTTTAAAATCTCCAATAGAACGCAGTACTCTTTGAAGAGACATCCAAGTTGATACCAGCGAATGCCATTGTGATTGAAGTGGCGCCCCACGGGCTATTACAAGCAATCCTCAAACGTTCACTAGCCGAATGTACTCATGTACCACTTACAAGACGCGGCCACGCTGATCCAGTCAAGTTCCTACTGGAAGCCTTCGGAAAGTGAGTATCGGTGTTAAAGATAGATATATTATGTTTTTTAAACAAAACTTTCTTGTTAAATCGAGGCGTGCTTGCGACACAATAAAATTGTTTTTTTTTATTAAACAAATCACTAAAGTACAATATTACTAAAAATTAAATGCTGAAGCTATTTTATAGCATAGTTTGGTGGCTGGCTAAGTATAGCTATAATAATGAATGCTAACACTAGATTCTTTTGTTTCAGATTACACTTGGCAGGACTTACGCCAAAAGTTAAAGCGCTCTACCCAAGAGTAGAATTCCCCGTTGCTACAGAAACTCCAATGTTATCGCATTTAGTCGAGTGGGAACACAGTGAAAAATGGTAAGATTTTATCACATCTGCTGTCTCAAAACCTTTGCAGCTAGAACGAACTACAAAATACACATATTCTATCTATAGATTTTTATTGGCAAATTGAGTTTAGAAGTATTTTTATTTCTGTATCACTGATTAAGCACTTTGAACAGTTATAACTCTGAGGTCTTATGTTCGATAGCTTAATGATTAAGTTTCGTACACCAGTTAAATAATTGACAGAGACATGTTAGTGAGCAGAGACTTGAATATTTTTTTTTTATTTTAATTAACGTTTGAAGAAAAATAAGTATGTATGTCAGAGGGTATTTTTACAAAAATCTCAAAATCACACAAAAGTACTGTAATTTACGCATATTGAATAAAACAAATTGTGTATTTTCAACCATATTTTTCTTAAGTAAAATTTTGATTACCCGTCCAGTTAGTAGATTAATATTTATTTTAAAACCTCTATTATTTTAGGCCGCAAGCAAAATACAACGCAAAGGATAGAATCAAAACATCGATCAGAAATTTCGTTCTCTCCATACATGATGATGACTACAAATTCTTTGAAAATTATAAGAGAAATGGTGAGTAAATAAACTTAATAATACTATCCCGATAACGATGGTTTCTTGAACGAAAATCTCATTGAGTAAGAAAATATCATGGTACCTTATTATAACTTAAAAGCATTCAAACTTTTTTCCCAGAATAGGTTTTATTGTTTATATTATGACTTTCGTGATATATAGTTTAATTTAATCGGTGGTAGTTACTATCTACGCAGGAAACCAGTTCTCAGGGAGTTGGTCTAAAATTCTTGACGCCTGGATGTCTCTTATAACACTTTGTTTATCTATATATATACGATACACCCAAAAAAGGAAATATCATTTTTCGACTTTGATGAATCGTAATGATCGTAACGATGATCGTAACAGTTTGATGAGGATCTCGGCAAGTTTCAGGCCATACTGGACACTCATATTCTTGAGCAGCATTCCACGACACAAAATGCGGTGACGCGGCTAAACAATATTATTGAGTTATATTTTTTTTATCAATATAAAAATTTCAGGTGCCTACGTGTTCCCTGAAGCAGCTATATTGACGATCGTATGGGAAACTCTCGCCATGTTCAAAGGTGTCGATTACAGGACCATGCCTATTGAATTCCAAAACGTGCACTTCAACGAAGAAATTCATTTCAAGGCCGATGACCCTCTGAAGCTAGATATCATGATACTTAAAGGAAACATGTATTTCGAGGTAAGTAAAGAAATAAAAGTAAGTTTTAGTACTATAATATAATGCTCATGCTACTGTATAACTAACTTCTGCCAGCGTCTTCACTCACGTATCTGATGGATAAATATTACTTATATGTTATTCCAGATCATAATCCCCTGTTCCAAATTTCACCTCGATCCTTTCAGCGGTTTTGAAGTGAAGGAGAAATGAACAACCAAACAAAATAAGCTTCGCATTTATGATATTAGTAGGGTGTATGACAACTATAAGTATATGACAAAATGTTCCATGAAGTAAGCAAATAAGTAAATTGTGACTATTATCATTTCGTAGGTTAACCACGACAAAACAGTTGTAGCTACTGGTTATTTAACTGAATTGAATAAAAAGGACAACATGAATCGAGAATTGGTGAAGTCATCTGATGCAAAGAACGTTACTCTAAATACTCGAGATGTTTACCAACTTTTGCGTATGAGAGGATACAATTACGAGTAAGTGTAACTAAAGGAAAATGAACTAATTGCACTGAATAGTGTTATAAGTAACATTAAAATCTAAACCTTTTTCTTTTTTCAGGGGCAAATTCCAATCGATCCATTCAATCACATCTGATTGTTCTACAGCGAATATTAAATACACTAACGAATGGATCCCACTACTTGATTCTCTTTTACAATTTATTGTATTAAAGAGGGATCATTCTGGTCTATCAAAATTGACTCAAATTAACAAACTGAGGATCAACACTGAGGAACATTTAAATACTGTGCAGAATGATGTAGATGGCGTTCCTTGTCTGACTGCGGAGTACTTTGATATTCATAATTTAACTAGGTAAAACAGTTATTCTTTTATGTGTATCATGCTTTTTTGGGACGAAAATATATTACCCGAGTCTGATGTCTTGGTTGATTTTTAGAATCGTTTGACGTGACTATATTTATTTTCTTTTTAGATGCGGTGGTATCGAATTTGAAACTGTGACGTTCTCCGATAAGCTGGTCGCTGATACTGACCCTGATCTTATACTTTCTCGCTGCTTTGTGCCTCATTTCCTGATTGGAAAGATTGATGTAAGTATCCATATAAATAAAAATGAATTTCCATTTGTTAGTCTTGCTAGAGCTCGAGAACAGCTGAACCGATTTGGATAATTTTATGTTCGAAATGTTTGCGGAAGTCCAAGTAAGGTTTAATAGTGAAGAAAAAATTTTAGGCAGTACGGAATTCGTCAGGTTTGCTAGTAATTAATAGGTATAAAATGATAGGTATAAAATAATAGGTATAGAAATAGGTAGATATAAAATAAATGATAGTAACCTTAATAAGAAGATTAACCAAACTCTGTCTTTTATAGCTAAAAGCAGCTTTGCACGTGAACATACAAATTGCTGCCGATAACATACCAAGCCGTCAAATCAAAGTAACTGAACTATTCTCAACTACATATCCAGAAATTTCAAAGATTTTAAGGGAAGTAACTGAAGAAATTACCGACAAAGACTTTGTAATGAGTGGCTTCAATAAAAACGAAATTGATCTATCTACTGTATTTGTGGTTGACAATTTATTGGAAGATGAACATGTAAGTACCAAATCATAAAATAAGAATTAAACACTAAAAACATAAACAAAAGAAAGAGTTTTAAGTGACTACATTTTTTTTTATTACAGAAAATGGAAACCCTAGCAAGAGTGCTGCCAAAATCGACATTCATTTTGACTGTTGAAAAAGATACTGCAAAAATCTATTCCAAATACAAGTCATTTAATGTCATATCATCATTTAACGCTAAAAATTACATACTTGTGTTAGTGAACACTATTGATTCAAGCAACAATGAAAACATTACTTACATGCCCATAACTAACGATAATAAGTTTACTTGGGTGCCACGAGTCCGACACGAGTTGGAGAAGTCCAGGAAGCTGGTACTTGTATCTGAAAGACAGCCATACTCTGGACTTATTGGTAAGGGTAACTTATATTATGCATCTTTCAAGATAAAAACGATGATTAAAAGCATGGATTTCGAATGATTATTTCTCTTCTGTAACAATTGAAAGTAACGTAATCTTTAGTAACAAAATTGAAGACGTAGAACATTTGCTGGTGGATTGTATCCAGAACAAAAATTAAAGGGACCTACTGATTCGAGAACTAAAATTAAATATGTTAGATGTTGGACTTGTATAAACTATTTTAGGTAATCCTAAAACTGAAACACCAAGAAAATTATGTAATTTGGCAAGGATAACTCATCAGTAATCAGTAACAAAACATACAAACATAACATCACACCTTTTATCCCCGAAGGGGTAGGCAGAGGTGCACATTACGTCATTTAATGCCACTGTACAATATAACACCCACTTTTCATTATTTATGTTATGAGTCCCATGTAATAGGGGGTGAGCCTATTGCCATATACCGGGCACATTTCCAGACTCCGTGCTACTACTGAGGTTTTTACAAACCCAGTAATACTTTGGCCGACCCGGGAATCGAACCCGAGACCCCTTGCCCTTTGCCTTTTAATCAGTAACCTGTTGTAAATATAAAATGTGTATTCATATTGTATTAGGTACGATAGGGTTGACGTATCCGCGTGGATAAAAGCCCTAGAAAATATGTAAGAATAAAAAAAAAACGTTTGTATTTTAGGCATGGTCAAGAAACTAAGGGAAGAATATGGAAACAAGATTGGTCTAATCGTAGTTGATGACTACCACTTAGAAAATTTCAACACCGAGGCTGCCGTTTTCAAAGATCAGATTGAAAAGAAACTGTCAATCAACATATTCAAGAAGGTACATGATGAAACAAAATAGTTTTTATCAAATAACGTCACAAAAAGCCAGACGAGATATTGCTTTCTTCTTCAAGTATCATAATAAAAATTACTTCAATATGAACGACTTTTTCCTTCAAAATATAATTGAAATATGTTTTCAGGGACATTGGGGAGGCTATTATAATATTCCGAGTCCCAAGGAGACTAATATTAGAAGTGTTGCCCTTACGAGTACTTCTCCTGGTGATATGGATGGTTTGAAATGGGTGGAAGTACCTCAGTTGCCTGCCAGCAATACGATGGTTCAGGTAAAAATTATGAATTTGTTATTCTATTTTTATCCAAAAATTTGTTTCTATTTTGAATTAACAAATTATACCTTTTTATGTATCCAGGTGAGTTACGTGGGGCTTTCTAACGAAGATGCACAGAATGCTATCGGTACATCCCTAGCACCAAACAATGGTTTTGGAAAGGAGTTCAGTGGTATCAACATCAAGTGAGTATTATTATTCTATTTGTGACATTTTAACGCTTAAGTTTTCTTAAGGGTGAAAATATTTACAATTTGAAGATGAAAAATACTAAAACTAATATGACTAATTAATTCCAGTGGTGATCGAGTAATGGGATTGCTTCCTGGAGGTGCATTAAGAAGTGTTGTAGAAGCTGATCCAGCTCTATTGTGGCCTGTACCTGAACATTGGACTTTGGAAGACGCTGCTACAGTACCTTTGGCTTACGTTAACGCATTTTATTGCCTTGTAAGTAGAATTAGAAAATATAACAAAACATGTATATTTTGTTAAAACGCTATTAAAATACACCTCTTTTTAACAGGACTACATATTCAATATGAAGCGTGATGGTGACACCTCTATATTTGTAAACGGTGCATCAGAACCTTTTGGACAAGCGGTCATATCCGTGGCTTTATTCTTCGGATACAAAATATTTGCTAATGTTGAAGATAAACAGAAGAAAGAATTGTTACTTAAACTGTTCCCTGAGTTAAACGGTATATATTTATATTTTTGTTACAATATTATTGCTATACTTTTTATTATATTGTTACTTTAAAATTATGTGTATTTCTTTTATAGAGGAAAGCATCGTGTGTTCCCGTGTAGATGCCCATAGTACAGTCATTATGAATTCTAACGCTCATTGTTGTAATATTGTCATTAACTGTGCCAGCGGTCCGTTGCGTCAAGTAAGTTTATTTTTTAATTAGAAATCCATTCGTGTTTTCTCTAAGGAATAATGGTCACTGCAAAACGTTTGAGATATTTTATTTTGTAATTTTATTTCAGTCTGCGATGAAATGTGTGTCTAAAATGGGCTTCGTTTTGGACGTTTGTGAAGAAGACATGAAGAATAACAAAGATTTTGGTTTATCCTTCTTACGTGAAGAAAGGAATTATAAGGGTATCATGGTGTCTAGTATATTCAAACCAGAATTTGCTGAAGAAAAGAAGGTAAGCAATAATTTTTCAAATTCAAATTCAAATTCATTTATTTGCAAGAATACATATTTACAAAGGAAGATCTTATAGCCTCAAAGTCATTGTATTCTGCCTGCGAGCAAGCGTGCAAAGTATAAAAATTTTAAATGAAAGACACCATAATAATTTTCACAATTACAGTTCAATATTTACGTTGGTATCATAGTCATAGACATGTTACATCTCAGTCGTAGATACATTACAGTCATACATTACAAGATAGTCGATTACAAGAAAAAAAAGCAAATATAAGGTCGAATCGAAAACCTCCTTTTTTTTGAAATTTCAAATGATTTTAGTCTCTTTGTTATGCAATACTGAACTCAAAATCATTTTACATAGTAGTACTTCATAACCTGCTTTAGTAACTTTATAGTTTTAGTAACCGTTCTAATCGATTCCACATTTTTTCTAGAAAATTCAATTGTTGATGGTTCGTGGAATTATGACGGGTGTAGTTAGACCTTTGAACCGCATCGTATACTCTCCCACGGAGGTCCCGCGAGCTTTCAGACTGACATCACTAAAGAGGTTCTGTGGCAATGTCCTCATAAGAATGAAGGATCCGAACATTTCTAGCGAAGATTTATGCGTCACTCCAAGGTATGTGCGAAATGGTGATAGTTTTATTGAATTCTTGTGCTGCAATAAATGTAGAAGGGGTTAACTATGACAGCACCGTCAAAAACCACATCAACATGTTAAATTGAAAATAAATAACCAAGTGTGTGGTATGTTTGCAGTCTTTTATACGCCTCAAGTACTTTTTTGCACTGAAATTTAGCATTTCAAACTTTCGTAACCCATACTAACTTAATACGTTGGAATTATGTTTTTTGGCTTACTCACGTAATTATTTGACGAAAATCTCGACTAGTTAGACTTGGCAACAGAGTAGAGTAGCAGCGCGACAGTTATCGGATCACGGGACTTGGAATGCTACTCATAAATATAAGCCTCTAACATGACTTGAAAGTAGTCGAGTTCCTCGTCAAATAATTATGTGAGTAAGCCGAAAAATATAATAATTAAAAAAACTAAATAGTTTTTTATCAGTGGCATGTCATGTTACGGAATCAACGAGAAAGTCGTTTCATTACAATTAGATTTTTTTTCACAGACAAAGCTACTCTTCTGATGGATCCTATATTGTAGTGTGTGATGAATCGGAGCTTGGTTTCGAAGTCGCTGATAGGTTGGTTCATCGTGGTGCGAGAAATCTTCTTCTAAACCTAAAGCCTAACTCTTCAGCTGGATACTGCTACATCAAATTAGCGTGAGTTTGTTACCCAATTAGTACACCGCTACTTTTACGGCACAAGTCTTCAAAAGGTGCATACTAATATTCTGATCTTGACTTTAGGTCTTGGAAAAAACTGAACGTAAATGTCAGGATATCGTCAGAAAACTTGGCAACGGATAAGGAATGCGTGAACCTAATAAGAGAAGGAGCTAAATTGGCGCCGGTTTACGGAATTTTCATAGTTGAGAATTATCAGACTGATGATAAAGAAGATGATTTAGATACAGAGACGATGATGCAGAAATTCAATAACACTATTCGCGTTGTTGCAAACCTGGATGTGTCTTCGAGAAATCTCTGCAATAATTTGAAGTAAGTAAATAAGTAAATAAATAGTAAAATATTGATCATGTATTGTATTTAAAAAGATAGACCAAAGTCCATTTGCAAAGTAAGTAAATTACAAGGCCCGGTACACCATAATAAACCTTATAGTTATAGGATCTCATAACATATCTAAATTATCGATACCTATTTACATTAATAATATTATGTTCTCAGTATCCTATTAGATTCCATCAACACAGCACATTTTAGTATTTATTTGCACAGCACTGTTTTGCTACAAGCTAAAACTATTTCTAAAATGTCCTTCCATCCAAATTGAATTTCTGAGAAGCAAAATACTACCAGCAAGGCTATTACCATTGAGTAAACTTATTCATATGTTATGAGCACTTAGAAAGCTAGACATTCAATTTGGAAAAGTAATGTAGGGACGAGTAACAAAACAACAACTTCTAATGTTGATGGACAGTTCATAAAATGTACAGTAAAAATTTAATATGTCTGCTTATACTAACATTTAGTTTCTGCGAATTTTGAACTTATTTCTAGCTAATAGTTATCTGGATATTATTTTTTTATGTTTTGATAATTTTATTCAGTTAGGAGGTTTCCATTTCCTTGAATTTTGACTGTTGGCTTTATTTCATTTTTACCATTTACTTTCAGCTTGGAATTGCTTTAATCAATGTATTAGCGGAAAATTATAAATTTCAGAAAAAATGTACAAGAATTTTCAAAGTTTAAGAGTTTGTTCTAGAGACATATTTTATAACATAGATATAAAGTAAAACAAAACTTTTTTCAACAGGCATTTTGTGGTGTTGAACTATTCTTCAAAGGGTGCCAGCGACGAATACGCGGTGTCTGTGATTGAGAAAATATGTGAGGCGCGCAATGAAGCGTGCTTGCCAGCCCTCGCCTTCCGCGTCGACTGGATCAATGAGGTATTCCTGTTCAAGTTATTTCAATATTTGCATTTCATTTGACGTAGTGTGAGAACGATATCGTAGGAGGAAATTGGCGTGGTGTGAATATTCCGATCTTATTGTGAATTTGTACCTACGTATTTTTAGCAAAGACTACCAGAAACAATCAGGTCAGAAAACATTATGTTAGGAAAATTTTGCAATATAATTAAATTACTTTTTGACGATTGGGTGAAATTAAAACAATGACATCGATCTCTAAGTTGTTAAATCTGATTTTCCTTGTAAACGATAACAACAAGTCTAGTCGACAAGCCTTACTTTTGCGATTATTATATTTCTGACATAAACTTTAATCAAGCTATTGTCAGAAACGTAAGCAATTTTCCAGAAAACATTGATGATAGACAATAAATAGATTCTAAAATAGTACGGAACGTGTATTAAAGATGGCCTCATTCTTTCAGTTTGATACTAATGGAGAAAACGGTACAAAAACACGATCACAGAAACTGTCAACAGTTATGAACGCTTTGGAAACAAGTTTGAAACTAAATTACACAGATGTCGTGTCATTTGATTTGAAGAAAAGAAACAATTACGATTTCTTGGCCAAACTCGCTAAAATTATTGGTGAGTTACGTTTTGTTCTTAGATTTTTTTTGTCCAATAAGTAGGTTACGAACCAAAAAAAGAGTAGGTTTGCTCTTTTTTTGGTTTGATTTTCGTGGTCTGTTTTGTAATAGATTGTAATATAAATAATAAGCAGACCTACTCAGATCGAGTCACTATCATTATGGTTGACCTAAAATGTTCTTTTTATTTGTAGTTTGTTGAAACCTCTTTTTAACCCATTAACACTTATGATGAATTCATGTAATGGACCTGAAGTTTTTTTTGACACTTTAGTCCTGCTGTTCCAGTAAACTGAAACATAACAAATATTAAGTAACTTCAAAGAGAAAATCAAAGTAATGAAACATTTTTATCGATCAATCAATTTAATGACATCTATAATTTTCCGTGTCTCATTCTATCGGCTCTGAAATATAACCAAAGAAAAATATTTTTGATGAAGCTTTATTTTTTAAATACTTCTTCTGTATGTGAGACCCATAGTCTAGTAGTGGACTTGTATTAGCTGTTGATGATGATGATAATGTATGCCATTCTTTTTATACAGGAGTGCCAAACATGGAGGACATTAAAGACAATCTGACCCTGGACGATCTAAGCTTGAATGACACCAACTTGCAAGAAATCAAGTTACTTATCAAGAATGTATATAATGTTGACTATTGTACTGAGACTTTATCTCAACTGGATGTTGGAAGGTAAGAACAATACATTGTTAAATATATGTTTTTTTTTCATATAAATTACATACACACCTAGGAAATAAAGTGGTTAACAGAATGAGTATAGGGCGTGAGCATTTAGCCAATAATTGGAATGGTTTAATGTCATCGGTCTCCGGCACGGCTTCGGCAAGACCATTTTTGCTTTGGAAATAATACAAACAATACTTACAGCGTTTTTATATTGACGTTATGAATTTATGTCATACGACATTAAAATTTTAAGTTCATATTTAAATGATAAGTAAATTTTATTGCTGGGTTGCAGCCGAATCGGCGCCGTCATTGTTGGTTGTAGGATGACCATTACTTAGAGTACAGAATTATTAAGTTACTCAGGATATTGGAGTTATAATAATATGCCAGGAAGTGTTTATTTTATTTCAGTTAAATGTTATTGTTCAGTTTTAAAAATGAGATGTGTTTTGCAGCTTGAAGAGTCTCGGCAGTATCGAGAAGAGGCAGAATACTAAATTCGATGCTGGTTTAGGAGCATTCTATACTTATACTGATGATGACGAGTGTATGGCTACTGAACCTATGATTCAAATGCCGACTAAGCTAAGCAGCGGTACCGAGGTTTGTACTATAGATTAATTTACAACTAAATATTTTAAAAATTATAGTGAAGAGTTTTCACATCTGCATACTTATATCAAAAGTTCGTAAAATCAAGAGTAGTTATACTAAATTGACTTGGACTTTCTGACTTCTTTCTTAATAAGTGAAGGACCAATGAAAAAATATATTAGAATTCTTTTTGCAGCGGCAGTAGAGGGTTGTCCACCCTCTGCACTAACCGTGTAGTCATATTATTCATTGTTCATTTTGTTAGTGTATTTTATAAAAGAAAAATGATTACGAATTACGTAACTTGTATAAATTACTGAATAATATTTTTTGTTCCTTTAGGAAGAGCAAGAACTTGATCCAAAGGAGACTTATTTGATACTGATACCAGGATTTGAAGGACATCACCAAATGTTCTACCGCGTTACTGAGAGGTTGAAGGTCAGAGCCATGACCTTCCAACTTGGACCTGACATAAACCAGGAAAACATTCAGAAAATGGCTATCGATATATTGACGGTAAGTTCTGCAAACAAAGATATATTATGGGTACATACATTTATCAAAATAGCTGTTGTTTCCCGATAGGCGTAGTTCTTACCAAACTCATTAAACAATAATTTCTTTACTTCCATGATTAAAATGTTTAAAACAAAACACCGAAATACTACGCTGATTCGCCTTCCTTGTGCGTTGCTAAGGAACAAAATTCTTTGCCAGGGTCTGTTTTTCCTGAAGGGTAAAACTTGGGTGTCTTCACGGCCTGAGGGCAAAGGTTGCTTATGGGTCGACGTGCTCTATCATAGGCCGCATTATCGCTTACCACCTGACGAGATAGTAAATGTCGACCCACCACAAATAAAAAAGGCACCTAACCAACAAGGAAATCAGACTTCAACATAAGTTCATACATCAGTCTCATGATTTTTATTCCTTGCTCACTAAACCGTGGACTTTTTGTAGAGAGATTTTTTATTGCAACAGACACAATTAAAGAAAACGTTTACAAAAGACAAAGCGAACGGAAATTACAACTTGTATCACTACAATGTTACTTCTCCAATATCTATCGTCCATTCCAATAAAAATAACAAACAATCCTTTCATTCTTAGAATCGTACACGAAAATATTGCATTTTGCTCTCATATAATATTTCCTAAAGAAAATCCAATGTCTCGATTCATCTACAATTTTCCGTATACTTATTAAGTATTGAACGTTGTGACCTAGTATTGAGAGTCGTTCGTGCTTGCACGCTACCACTACCGTCGTTCCCTATCAGTCGTTTTCTTTTATTATAAAAGATTGAATTAATTCAATTGATATTTCCCAAGGAACAGTGATGTAGGAACTCAGTGGACTTACGGACACTGATTGGTGAATAAATTGTGGTCGATTTTGTTTTCTTATGTTCACTGAGGGACCCCAATTCGTTAAGTTATTCATCACTTCGTTAAATATCCATTCGAATACTTTTAAAAAATTTCGACTATGCCCCGTACCGTTTGTGAAAGGAAAACAGTTGGATTAATTGGCAAGTCTCGTAACGTATTGAATTGTTTATAAGGCCTTTTGTGTTAAGGAATTAATAGTATTTCTTTCTGTTGATTTGTTAATAATTAATTGTAACTTTTTATTTATTCATTACAGTATGCGAAGTACGATAATTGATAACGAGAATGTTCGTATGAGGTTTTCATCTGATCATTAAACTATAAAAGCTAATTTGTGTTCGTATTTGTGATTTTTAGTTCATGAAGAAGAGGTTCGAGCTCAAATCCAATTTCTATCTGATGGGATATTCCTTTGGTGTCAACGTTGCTCTAGAGTTGGCCGCATTATTTGAAAAAGAAGGTACGTATTTATAATTTTACTTAATCTAAAACATAACCATTAAGTTCACAACTTAATATGAGAACAAAGCCTCTATTGACAACTTTCATCACCTCGCTACTTGAATTAAAATTTCTTCAACCAATCTCAATTTATTTCTGTCGTTTCCTTAGAAAATTATTTTAAAATTATTAAGACAACATTTAAGAAAAGGGAGGACTTTTATAGATCGAATCCCTTGCGTCACATTATTTCAAACTTTGACTTTTATGGAGCACATTTTAATTTCAAAAAAGACTTACTTACTTATCTATAAAAACTCTAACTTCCTTAATCTATAAAAGTACAATTTTACACCGTAACAGTACAGACATAGAGTTAAATCTTGCTTAACAATTTAATGAACTTTGAAGATAATTACTTGAATTTATTTTTTCAGGTCGCGTGGGAACTGTGTATTGCTTGGACAGCAGCCCAGATGCATTAAGAGTTCAGCTCGATGCTTATGTTGGCAATTTAACTGATACGGAGTTACAGAACAAAATCGTAGAGCACATGTACCGTCTCATGACAGGAAGAGACAACGAGGAACTGAAGAACGACTTGGAGAGATCAGAGACCTGGTCAGAGAAGGTGGACGCATGTGTTAGTAGACTTAGGGAGTTGGCGAGCTATTCCAACCAGTACAAGAGATCGATCCTAGAATCGGCGTACCGAAGGATCATGCTGGCAAGGCAGTATGAGCCTGATTTCAAACTTGAATCCCAACTGGTTCTCATGAAAGGCATTCCTCATCCAAAAGCAGGACCTCTTCCTGAAGACTACAACTTATCCAAGTATACAACGAAGCCAGTGAAGGTGTTCAACATTGAGTCTGACCATGCCTCAGCACCCCACGATTGCAGAGTGTCGAATATCATCAACAAGTTCCTGGATCCCGAATTGCTATCGAAATTCGAGAAGGAAGTTCTCTGTGAAACCTACTTGGTTGAATCATTCAAAATGTTGTAGAGTTTTTTTTTTAATGTTCATTGGAATATCAATGCGCATCAGTTACTAAGTTAGTTTAATACGGTCATCAATAATTACGTTAGTAACCTAATAAATTATATTACTTTTAACAAGCGTTTTTATTAATCTCCATAGACCCTTAGAAATTTCGAAATTTTGAACATTAACCAGCCATGGATTGACATTGAATTAAAACTTTGGATTTTTAATGATTTATTAATTAAGGTTTGGAAACCTTAATGACTGTGATATCGATTTTGGATGAAAACAAAGCGATTATAAGTTTAATTTTGTTTCTGAGAATCGATACTCATTTTAATTGGGTGAGGAGTTAAGCAGATAATTAGTGTGAGCCAAGTGCTGCCAAAATAGATACAACCTCTTCACTGAATGTTTCGAATTTCCGTACGACTGTGTAAATTATCGTTTCCAGTTACAACGTAAATACAAAACAATTGAAATCGAATACCTACTTGGGACTTTTGGATTTCAATCCGAAAACGAAAATAAATCAGTACTAACTCTTTCAAATAAATACAGATACTTATTCAATTCCCTAACGAGTGTGTAGGCGTTAAGGTCTAGATAGATTTTCAATACGTCTATGTCAATAATCTTATAAGCCCCAGTATAATTTGATTTTGTTCGTACACAGAATGTCAATTTAACAATTTATATACATTTCCCTCTAGAATTAAAAAGAGCGTCATCGGCCTGTTAAATAAAAAGAAATACAAAAAGATGAAATCTTACTTGATTTTTCAAGAACCACTGAAGACCAATTTCTTGTCTCGAGAGGCATCTACGTTGCATTTTATTAAAAATCTCAATTTTCCTTGTAACGAAATGAATTTTTAAATGACCACGAAACCGCTGAAGCCACTTTGGGGAGTATTGCCTTCATTTTAAGAAGAAAAAATTTGATGAAGGAGAAAAATCTTGCAGTAACCTTCGTAATTCTTAAGATTAAAGAAGATCGACCTATTTCTTGGAACATATATGTATTTAGTAGTTACATACCTATATTTTGAATAAAATATACAGGGAAGAATTTCGTAATGCCATCTGAAGGGGAAGTACTCTTAATACTTAAGATATTTAATTATACTCAAAGAAAACTTTCCTTTGAAAAGAAAGGAAACTGCATTCAAATATTTTTAAAATTAGCTAATCTTGCCGCACACTGTTATCGGGCCGTAATACTTTGTCCGACCTGGAAATCAAACCCGATTCCCCTTGCCCGACAGTCGCACTTGCGACCACTCGGCCAACGATTTTTTATATCATTTCAAGAAATGAATGAAAAGAAATGATTTTTAATATATTTTCAAGAGAAGTACATACATATAAGGTATATTCTTCTTATCAAAATCTTCGAATGTAACCGAAACCAGGTCAGTTGGCAAGTATTTTAATATTTTTGAAAACTTTCGAATTTCTAAGCCACGAGCTGTGGTCTTAGCTCAGATAATATCATAAAACTGAGGAACTTAAACAACTTTGTAGACTTATCTGTACGATTTAAGGGCACCCGCCAGATTTATTTACAACGAAAACCATTTTGCGTTGAAACTTTTACCGTATTTTCTTTTATTTTCCTTTTTTATTTCGATATTTTTGGGATGTGCAAAATATAGAGTTTTTGGTATAGTTATTCTTTCTATACGCATCGGCTTATGTATTCATTAATTAATAACTATTTCAACAAACCACTGTGAGCCAAATATAAAGATCAAATGTCGACTTCGTATCTAATATACGTATCCAAATTGTTACCTAGTAACTGACTCCTTTGATTTGGCTTCGAAAACAAGGTAGTTAGTCATTTTCCATTAAAAAAATGATTAATTAATGTTAGAGTAAACCTGGTACTGCCACGCCTGTACTGCGACTGCTAGACAAGGGGTTTTGGGTTCGAATCCCGGGTATGGCAAAGTATTACTGGGTTTCTCAATTGTAGCATGCCATGCATACAGTCTGGAATAGTGCCCGGTATATGACAATAGACTCACGGGGTACTCACATATGTAATAGGGGTATTACATGGGACTCATAACATAAGTACTGAAAAGTGGGTGTTACATTATACAGTGGCATTAAGTGCCGTAATGTGCATCTCTGCCTATCCCTCCGAGAATAAAAGGCGTGGTGTTATGTTATGCTACTAAACCTAAAAGGTATTAGACACATGTTAAAATATAACAACATTTAATTTTCAGTGTTCAAAAGTAAAATTATTGATGTTTTTACGGTTACAAGAGGGTTTAAATTCTCAGTTGCTTTGGTTTATTAAATATTAAATAAACAACTTTATTTGAATATAAACAAGGTTTAAAGCGTAAATAATTGATGTGAAGCAATTTATTATTTAGATTTCGTTTCAAGAGCTGCCCATGTTGCAGCTGTAGCATGATAAAGAGTCGGTGTTTTTTCATACGTATTTTGTTTTTGAAGCTGTGTTTGTACTGTAACTGAGAATTTTGGTATCGAACTTTACGCTACATCACGCCTTTTAGCCCCGAAGGGGTAGGCAGAGGTGCATATTACTGCATTTAACTCGTTGAGTACCGTCATTATATGCTTATAATGTAATTGTGCTCAATTAAAGAACAATAGGTTGCGGTCACCGGTGACCGCTTGGTGACCGGTGACTTGACTTGACTTGGACAGTTTAAACTGTCAAACACCTAGCGGTTTATTTGTGTCAATTGTGTCTATAATTGTGTCTTTAATTGAGTCTTTAATGATGGTACTTAACGAGTTAATGTACAATGCAACACTCACTTTTCAACATATATGTTACGAGTTCCATGTAATAGGGGGTGAGCCTATTGCCATATACCGGGCACAATTCCAGACTCCGTGCTACCACTGAGAATTTTACAGGCTTATACATATTTTGACTAATGTAAATCTAAGGTCAATGTTGCATCATTTAACGAATGCGTGCATTCGTCAGAAACAATAAGAAGGGTTACCTAGTGTTGCCGATTCGTCGACAGGTCTAATTGGTTTTAAGCAAGATGCAAGTATTTGCTGATAACTATATGCTGAGGTGGAGGCCCTTTTGGCATGTCCACACACACAACAATATTGCTACCTATATATTATATTACTTATGTTTAGTTTTTTTTGTACATTTAATTTTTTTATATCAAAATCTTATTGCATTTGTTTTGTATTGTATGTAAAAAATATTTTGTTATATTTTGATGATTTTTTATTATGTACATATGTAAGTATCTGTATCTTTATTTTTCATAATCTTTGTTTGTGTGCCATTTCCCAAATAAATGCTTTTTCTTTCTTTCTTTCTTTCTTGTCATTTGTACCCCGCCAATTGTTTGGTAAGGATGTATGCATATGTCAAATAATGCAACGTGGACAATTACCCTAAAGGTTTATTTTTCAGTTCGTAAAGTTTCGCAATCACGGTCGCGCTTTTTTAATTAGTTACACTTTTTAGCGACTTCAAAAAAAGGAGGACGCATTATGTTCCAGTAATTGTTTTTTATGTATATTCGCCGTTTATGAAACGATTTTTATTGTATAATACAATGGCGAATTTAAAATTTAGTAGGTTTCTCTAGCAGACAAAGTTATCGATATAGCCCAAAGGATCAGTAAGCTGAAGTGGCAGTGGACAGATCTCATTTGTCGTAGAACCGATAGCTGTTGGGGTAAACATGTTCTAAAGCGGAGATCGCGCCTAGGCATACGTAGTGTAGGGCGCCCTCCAGCTAAGTGGAGTGACGACATCCGCAAGGTGGCTTGCAGTGGTTGGATGAGAAGAGCTCAGTGGTATGCCATTGGATAGGCATATATCCAGCAGTGGACGAACACAAGCTGATGATGATGATGATGATGATGATATTCTCTAATAACAAAAGACGAGATGTCATTATAATATAGATTACATCATTTCTCTGCAAAATTAATCGAAAATGGGTGTCAAATGACATAACATAACATAACATCACGCCTTTTTATCCCCGAAGGGGTAGGCAGAGGTGCACATTATACCACTGTACAATGTAACACCCACTTTTCACTATTTATGTTATGAGTCCCATGTAATAGGGGGTGAGCCTATTGCCATATACCGGGCACAATTCCAGACTCCGTGCTACTACTGAGAATATTTAAAAACCCAGTAATACTTTGCCCGACCCGGGAATCGAACCCGAGACCCCTTGTCCGGCAGTCGCACTTACGACCACTCGGCCAACGAGGCAGTCACGAGTCAACGAGGTGTCAAATGAATTAAATCATTATTGAGAAATAATAAAAGAATATGATATATCTAAATATCTTTTGTTGAATCAGATAAAATCTACCAAAAAATAAGAAGCAGTTACTTTATATTATAATTATACGTTTATCAATCACTTTAAGGAATTTTAATATTACAACAAACATAAACATTGAAAGAACACAACATAATGTTCTGATAACATCGAAGCACTTCTCATAAATAAATTTAAATAAGAATAATTGAAAGTACCACATTACAACATGGTACTGAAGTGTAAATTATCATTATTGAAACATTTATCAGCTGATAATTGCGTTGCGAGATCGTAAATTACAAACAAAAGTATACTTTATTGTTTAATGAATATTCATTTACCATTTAAAACATGCTTTCCGATGTAATGTGCCTGCTTATTACAGTGAAATTTGGTTAAGTGGGACCTGGATAAGTGAGAAACCTCCATAACTGGAACCCATGCTGAGGTCCCAACACTTTGGCACTGAATTACCTCTGTTAGTGGGACGAGGTAAACCTTTATATCTGGGATTTGTTCTTTCGATTTATCATCATAGTTACCTCTATAACTGAGACAGCGAGTAAATTTTATAAGCATAAACCTTTGTAACTGAGATAACATTGTTTGTTTACTCATTCTTATTCTACCCACAAATTCCACACGTAATTCCAAGTCCACCTATATTAATGGAACCCTCTGTAAATGAGACAGATATTTATTTATACCTGTATATCTGAGACACTGAGTAAGTGGAATACCTCTATAAGTGAAACGATATTGCAGGTCCCTTGAT